TCTAACAACTCCAAATGAATGGTCACTCATGATGATATTGACTAGCTCTTTAAGAACAGGTATTTGCGCGCCACTGTGGACGTGATAGTGCCCATGCTCTAACTAGTTGCGATTTAGATGCATAAGTCTTTGACGAAAGCAATTAATTGACAGAAAAGCTTTATTGGGACCCTTCTTTTAGCATAAAGATAGGAGAAGAATGAGCACATACTACTGGTCTATTGTTGTCTCCAAATCATGTCCAAGTCCAGCAAGTCCGTTTATTCTATAGATTATCTATTGGAGATTTTATGTTTTTAGATGCAGTTCAAGTTCAAGTTTGGATTTAATTCATTTGAGTTCCTTCTTAGTCCAAGTTAAAGGTCGCCTGTTAGTCGTCAATTTGTTCAAGTCTGAGTTCAGTCAAGTTCAGTCCACTGCATGTCCCAAATCAAGTCCTCTTGCACTATGTTTTGTCCAAGTTCTCATTTCAGTAGAAATTTCGGCAGCCTCCCGGCTTCTCCTCGGTCGTCCCTCTCGTTTAGGGGAAAAATTAAGGCAACCATTCCCCTCGACGCTACGTGAGCGGCTTCAGGTAGGTGTCAAAAATGACACCAGGGTTGGCGTCGCAAAATGAAATTTTATCTCCCGCCCGCCTGCAATGAGCGTTAAGGGTTTTTAGGTTTGTTTATTATAAGAAGAAACAAGTTTCAGCGAAAGAAACAAACATTACCCCCCAGTCTGCATTCCATCGTGGGCCAGTTCGAGGGCTACTATATGAGCAAATAGAGAACACATTTTATCCCCTTCGCCGCAAGCGTCGCACCGGTTTCCCACCCTAAACGCTACTTGAGCGCCTCGGGGGTTTGCCGGCTCGTTGCAAGCTTTGACAAGGGATTCTTAAATCGTCGCGAGCATCGCACCGGTTTCCCACCCTAAACGCTACGTGAGCGCCTCGAGGGTTTGTCGGCACGTTGCAAACATCGAGAAAAGAACCTTGTTTTTTATTTATTAAACAAATTAAACTTGTTTTTCTTTTAATGTAAATATATTTATATATATAACAAATATATTAGTATATATATATATATATATATATATATATATTAATGTATAACAAATATATATATAATAAGCACAGATTTCTAATCCAAGGGAGAGAGATCGGGCATGGTCACGCACGGGTGAGGGAGATCGGATAGAGCAGCAGCGAATCAGAGAGGTGGAGTTTGGCTTGGGCGCTGGCTACGGGCGTGAAGAAGTCGGTGCAGGGAGATGGTGTCAAGGGTCTCTCAGTTAGGCAGAGATGGAGAGGGCGGCAGTGGCGTGAGGTAGGGGAGCTTCGGCTATATGGATCAGAGACAGCAACAAGTAGAGGAGTTCGGGTATGTAAATCTCTCCTCTCTCTCTCTCTCTCTCTCTCTCTCTCGGAGGTCGGACGGACTCGGCAAGGGGGAAGGGAGCTTCGGTTGAATGGGGGAAGAAGGCATCAGGAGTGGGAGAGGAGCTCGGACAGAGCAGCAGCGAACGGGAGAAGAGCCTCTGTGGGTCGGGTATTTAACGACGTCCAAGGGCGCTCGATAGAGGCGATCACGGGAAATACGGGAAGAAACGACTGTTTCGGCACCGGATTCAGCAGAATTTGCAGCAGAATTTGTGGATCCGTTGAGCATAAGGTTTGTATGCCGGCTCTCTTCCCTCTTCCCCTTTTTTGCTCTTTGGATAACACATTAAGGTCAACAGTGTGAAAGGGAACACCATACGGGTGATGACTATAAGTATTATGGGGTCTTACAGGAAATACTACAGTTAGAATATCTTGGTGAATGAAACAACTTATATCGTTTTAATTATGATTGATTTGATCCAGTGAAAAATAGAGGAATAAGGGTGCACCCATTTTATGATATTACAAAAGTAAAGCGAGATAGAAGATATGAAAAATAGGACCCATTTATCATTGCTAGCTAGGCTACCAAAGTTTTCTTTGCTAACTAATTAGGTAGACAGTGGGGTAAGCAAGATTGGCTTACAGTTATCAAGATTAAACCTAGGGGGTCATTGAGAATACTATATTAATACCAACAACACATCAAGAAGTGCGTATGTCAAACTTTAAAGAGCCTTCCAATGATGGAGATGATCAAATTGTAGCTAATGAGACTGAATTGTAGTTAGAGAAGGTAAACTTAGACATTGAGGAAAATATTGAAGATGTTAGTAGTGAGGATGTAGTGTCATCATATGGATGTGAATCACCTACTGATTAATAGTTAGGAGGTAAATGTGAATCACTTAGTAATTTTTTTTACAACACATTAGTCTACATAAAACACAGCAGTTCCTTTTTTTATAGCATAGTAGTAGTAAACACATTTTTTTCTTACAGCATAGCAGTACTTACTACTTATTTCTTGCATTTAATCTACTTAATTCATGCATTTTCATAAATATACTAATAATGTTTTTATTTTTTGCAGATGGCTTATGGTAGCGATGAGCCCCCTAGGCAGTCTATCACAAATATTGTCAGTCGCAAGCATAAAAAGGGTGGACGATTTAGTAGGGGTAGAATTACTAAGGGTACCTCCTCTTCACATCCTACCACCTATACCCAGCCTATCCTCCCTTTACCCATGCTTTCTGTCACCAAACCCTACGTAGATGGCCCCCTTTCACCCGTACTACCCCCCACCATCTTCTCAGGGAGTTCCTTCGGGGATTAAGAGAGAAGATCAGTGAAAATCAGTCTGCGACTACATCGGCCTAGTAGGAGAGTGATGATATAAATTCCGCTTATATTACCTTCTTAGGTTTTGATGTATTCTATTTTTTTTATGTATAAGAACTATCTTTACTTTAACAGTATTGTAGTAAGTGTTGAATAGTGGGAGTGTGAACGTCTATATGAGCAGTTGAATTATGATTGTAGAACAATGTGTTTCTTATATTTATTTTAGCATTATTTGTTAGAATATTAGCATTACTAACAACTGTTTTTAAAGTGCTTAGATTGTTATTGCGAAAAAACTTAAAAACTGGTGGTAGATGCTATTTTTTTGTGTATGCTACAGGTTATCGACAGATTTGCGACGAAAGTTTCATTGCAAACTTCGAAACGACGAAGATAAATTGTATTTTCTGACGGAGTATTCCGTCGCAAATTGCAGCTAATTTGGGGCAAAAATGCCAACGCAATTTACATTGGCTTTATTGCTTTATTGCAACAAATTGCGGCAGCTAACTAAAACGAGAACATCATGTTCGGGAATTTAAACCTACCGAAAATCCGCCATAAATCCGTGCAAAAATTTGCGACAGATTCTGCCCGTCGCAAATACTTTTACGACAAGACTTTTATCGTCGGAATTTTTTTCACTGCAAATCAAAATTTGCAACGAATTTGGCTTGTTTTGTGGCGAATTTGTCCGACACAAAAAGTTGATTTTACTGTAGTGGCTCTAGCACTGCAGAGGCTCCAACAAAGACATACAGAGAAGACAATGAGGTTTGGTTGCTAGAGTTAATTAAATCCCCACATTCAAGGCTATTTACTTAAATGACCTTCAACCATCCAGTGCATGCCCTTAAAAGTGCTTTGGCCAACGTTTACATAACCCTTGCTATATTGATTTTCATTTTTAAACAGCAATCCAATTTCTTAACTTATAAAAAAATGAGATTTAGAATTAATTCTTTAACTCTCAAATCCTTCGCATTTAGCCATATGATGCTATATATCAAATTGCTTCATTTGACGAGTAGAACGCAATGACATATAATTTATTGAATTTTGTGAAGGTTGAGATTTTGGATGTTTTAAATTGATTCACATTCATACCTATCACATGCGGATTTACATTACTCGCCTGAACTTGACCTACTACAGATGACTTAGGCTGACCAGCGAGATGGATGGATAGTCTCTGAGATCAGTATCACAGGTAAAGATCTAGCTCTTCCTAAACATGATAATAATAGAAAAGAATAATACCTAATCAATAGTAAATAACAATTATTAGTACGAGATGTTACATCTAGAGGAAGAACATAAGTTACATTTTATAGACAACTAAATGCAAATATGTCATCTACGATTGAAAAACTTAGTTCTTATGTCTAACTCCATAATCCTCATGAGCCTAATCAGGATCCATGTCGTGAAAAAAAAATGCAATTTAGGAACTATTCAGTTGGATGTTTTCAAAAACGCATGCATTTAAAAATGCATAAATTATTTAGTTTGATGGAAATGAAATACAATGAAATATTATTTTGTGATAGGATATATTTAAAGATTATTCCTCACTCTTTGCTTCTCTTATCTCTTATTAATAAATTCAAGGGAAAACCGAAGATATGGAAGGCAGTGCAAGCAAATGAAGCAGAAGGTGGGATGGTGATGAGAAAGATTATGTGGGCAGGAGGGCAATGGGAGAGAGAGGCGATGCAGACAAGGGATGCAAGCCGAGCGAAGCGGAAGAGGAGGAATATGGAGGGGGAGAAGCATGCAAGGGTAACAACTAAAGCAAGAGGGCAAGGTGGCACATAAACATAATAGATATGGGTGCTTGCCTCAAACACATGATTTGAAAATTAACCCAATCTAAGTAAATTTCCAAATACAAATAGGAGGTTTGGGCCATCAAAATCCCTCAAAATATACTGTATAACATTTGCTTCAAACCAAATATAAAAAAAAAAGCTAAAATGCGGTACAATTCCAATTCAACCTACAAAAATAACCCTGTAGTGTTCTGGTAAACTTGGAGTCAACTAAGCCTGATGTTAAATAAAACAATTTATCAGGTCTTCGGGAAATTTTATGCTGTCAACAAAGGTTCCTGTCTATAATGCAGATATTTGGGTATCTGAAAAATGACCACCTAGTATAAAGAGCCTTGAACAATATTGCGCAACTAGAATCCAATAGAGTTTTGAAAAAAGATCAGTAGAAACCAATATCAATAAAGAGAAGGTAAAATATACAAAAATATATGTGGAAAAATAAGATTGCATACCAAAAGCTGTTCTAATCTCCGAGCAACAAACTGAAATACCTATATATAATTAGTGTGGCAATGCATTAATAATCTTGAGGTGCAAAAGAAAAAGCAGGACATGAGAAAAATATAACTTCTCACATCTTGTATTTGGTTGTCATCAATATCTATGGGCTGCACGTCCGCCACAAGCCTTAGAGAATTACTCAAGTCAAGATTCTTCTTGTTCTCTACCAGTATTTGAACCTAAAAGATACAGAAAATGTTTTATAATATTCTTTCAAATCAAAACATAATGCTCTACCACTTACAAGTCCATAACAGATTCTTCGAAGGCCAAAGGGGTCAGCTGTTGAACTAGGTTGACAACCAGCACCAAATAAGCCCACTAGGCTATCTAATCTGGTCCATTCATGGAAGCCATAAATTTAATCCGTTAAAAATGTAAAGGAAGAAACATAAAATTCATGATTTTAACCTTCATCAAATGAAGTGAAGCTAGCTTAATTAAGGCAATTTAGATGGAAGTGCCCACTGAGGTAATCAAATTCTTTTTACAGGATATAAACAAAAAAAAATTAGCAACTTATTGCATAAAGTAATCAAATTACAGCATCCCAGAGCTAAAATTGTCTAAAGAAGGCAGGAAACCATGAAAAGCTAGAAAAATATGAAATTAAATGCATTTGATTTCAATCAGAGCCTACACTATTATAAAATTAATCATAAATAGCATAGGAATATTTGTTAGGTTTCAATTTTTTTAAGTTTTGTAAAATTATACAATATCAGCACCTTTAGGAGCACCTTCAATAAAATTCATACAAAGATAAGAAATTGATTGGTTGTAGGATGAATGAACATACTTGTTTATGTTATCTTTAACAAGACATTGAAGGATAGACATCTCAAATTACAAAAGCAAAGAAATGGTGACACTGAATTAGATCTTTTACTTGTAGATGATTTACAATTTGATTAGGGTGTTGATGTTTTTGAATTCGTAATTGATGGAGAAACTTATATCAATGAGGACAATGAAAGATCTATTGAATTGGGATTCGCTTCTACTTCCCAAGTATATAAAAGAAAAAAATATAGGATTGGAGCTTCGGAAAAATATATAGGTAATATTAAATATAATTAATTATTTTTTTTGTTATTAAATTTTAGAATACAACTAATGAAATGTTAATCACTATAGGAGATAAAAGAATATATATATATATATAAAAACGAAGATGATTTTGAAAATGATTTTGCCATAAATTATAAGAATTCTAAAAACTGTCAACTGCCTTAAGTCTAGATTCTAAGAGCATGTCTAAGTTTTAAGTGAGTATTTATTTTGAATCTTGTGTTTCAATAATATTTTATCTTCAAACAAGTTATTATGTTCATGATTTACTTAATATTTTGTCATTTTTTGTGAATTATTAATAATTTTTAAATACTTTCTTTTTTTGTTTTAATGCTTACGCCTTCATCGGCCTCGCCTCTCTTTAGATAAAAACGTCTTGATTCCCGATTTCACCTTATTAAATCTTGTTATATACTATAAAGTAAATTTATTTAATAACATTTAAATTTGAAAAAGGCCATAAATCATATCATATGTATGTATATGAAAGTCATATTATATCATAACATTTTTCATAATTAATGCAACTATCATATTTGATACTTTCTAAAATAGTACCAATGAAGATATTTCTTTTTCTATATCATTTTTCATTTACGCATGCAAGTACATTACTTCCACAATCAGTACCATAAAGAGGCATGCCAAATAAATCAAAATGCACATGCAAGCATTTCTAAATAATCATTTCATTCTTATATCATTTAAGAACTTACAATAGTATATATATGTTGAATATTCATGCTGACTACCAACAAATTCAATATGACCACTCATTGAAAAAGAAACAACATCAATTTTTTACAAATAAACATTAAATAATAAGTGCCAATTGATTCAATGAAATCATATTAGATAAAGTAACATTATAACTGTAAAAAAATAAGAACATTTGTACTCACCTTAAAATCGAATGCTTTTACAATTTGCTATAGTCACCATTATGTTATCATTAGATAAATCCATACATAATTACATTTTTATTATTATACGGAATAATTTGTCTAACTCAAAATATTCTCAAATTTTAATATTTTAATTTTTATCCCATAAATTAATAGCTCTAATAACTTCAATTTTAAATACTCTTTATATACTATCTAAATTGTCCTCACTATTCAAAGTATATAAATGCTCATATATGTAATTAATTTTTAAATGAACATATTTTATCACTTAAATTAAAATACTAATAAAATTTATTCTCCTAATATCACTCTTTCTATTGTCATAATTTATTTATTTTTCTTAATTTAATAATATCACTCTTTTTATTAATTAACACTCTCATTGTCAGGTCCCAAGTCCTAGAAGAGTAAGATTCAAGATGAATGTGAAGAAAAAAAAAAAAAGTAAAACGCTATTCCAATATTAGATGAAGGCATTTAAAGAATATTAACAAAAAATATTTTTAAAAGTAAGATTCTAGAACTTAAGATTTTTCTATGCATAAGCTAATAATATTATATGAGAAAAAGTAACTAGTTATATTAAGAATGTTATAAAAGATATGCTTGGAGTATTATAGAAAAAAAACTCCTAATAGTAAATATAATTTGTGCTGAAATCATAATGTGCAAAACAAGATAAAAAATAAAAGTAAAAAATTTTGATAAATGTGAAAGATATAAAAAGCTCGTAAGGGGTATAACACGGTAATATGTGATGCAAAGATTGTAGCTTTTAATGATTTTTATAATATATTAGATACTGAAGAGTGCGAAAGATATATGTACAAGTTATCCAAAGAACGGGAAAAAATAAAAAGGATTTAGGGGACAGGATTCGAACCTGCAGTCTTCAGGTTATTCAAAAAAAATGAATTAATGATGAAAATCAAAAAATACTTTTAGTATAAGAGGATATTCAACAAAGGTGGATGAGATATTTTGCTAAACTTTTTAAATAAGATTGTGAGAATGTGATTGACCTTAGCGACTTAGCATCATAAATGAAAATAGATATATTTATTTTTATCGGCGTATTAGTAAAATCAAAGCTAGAGTTTCTTTAAAGAAAATGAAGTGTGAAAAAACTGTTAGACCTGATGACTTTCCAATAAAGTGTGGAAATTCTTAGGAGATAAAGGAATTTCCTGGCTTAATAAACTTTTTAATATTATTTTGAAGATTAAAAAGAAGTGAGATAATTGATGAATGAGTGTCTTGATTCTTATTTTTAAGAATAAAAGTGATGCCTAGGATTGTGCGAATTATAGAGGAATAAAGTTTATGGGCCATACTTCAAAACTACGGGAGAGAGCTATGGTGCATGTCACAACCTGACCCAGCTAACCCGAATTAACTGGGTGGGAGCAGACAGTCGTACAAAAAATACTATAACATTAAAACATAACCATTTCATTTTTAAACTTTTATGACATAACATAAATATCCTCAACACATAAATAAGAAAGATCCAGAACATCGATACCAAAATTGTCAAATTTGTTTCTTCTCACATAAAACTAAAAGCATAAATATCCACAATTACATAAACTCCAACAAACTGTTCAAATACAAACCATAAACTCAAGCTCAACAGAAAACATAAAAACCTTTCTTCCTGAGGTATTCTACGACGGTAGTTGTATTGTTGTCTCATAGTCATCACTTATCTCCTTAAAAATATTTCCAATAATAGGATGAACCATGGCTCAGCAGGTGATAAATATTTATTTTAAATTCATGAATTATTTTTCTTTTCTTTTCTTAAACAGATCATTAAGCATGAAAATGAAACATTAAAGGACCATAATAAACATTTATAGGTATGCTTTCATAAAACATTTCATAATCATTGCATAAAACATTTCCTTAAATCCTTCTTTCTTTCTTTTTCATAAACTTTCATTTTCTTGAATCCTTTCATAAGAATGCATAATTTTCCTAATCATAGTATAATAAGCACCCGTCCCAAAAGTATCAGAGTTTTGTACTGATCAGGTACACATTCATTTGGCCATTTCCTTTACCATTTAGCTCCGAAGAACCCCATTACTAGTTGTCTTTTAAAAGCCCCTTTAACATTTGACTCCGTAGAACCCTATTACCATTTGGCACTTCCGGATTAACATTTACATGCTCTTTATAATAATTATATTCATCAAGGGACTATAAATTATTCAATACATCATATAATCTTCAATACTTTTCGGGTAAAGAAAACTTTGTATCTCTTATGCCTTAAATTTGTTTAATCAACTTGAACATTTTAAGTAACATGTCATACATATAAGCAAAGATTGAAAAGCTAAAGCAATAATAAAGAATACATCGATATTAACTTGTAACCTTTATTATAAGTGCAGAATATTTAATTAAATTTCATAAACTCAATTTAAATGTAATCACCTATCTTGCAAGTATCGAACAACCATCACAACTCTGCACAACATTGCTTAACCACATGTCGTCTCCTTAATCCACACCTAAGGATAATTACATTTGAACTAAGCACACATCACAAATATTTTCAATAATCAAAATAATTAATTTTCTATTTTTGGAATTATTTAAAATCCAAATTTATGAGACCCTAAATTTTCAATTTCGCTCAAATTTTTATATCAAAATTATCCCTAAACATAATTTATTAATTATTTTATTAATTTTCGGATATAATTAATTAAGAAATTAAGAAAAATAAAATTTCTTATAAAAACATGGGTATTTTTAAATGAGTAACGGTAATATGGGTATTTTTAAACTTCCATAATTTTTAACTTCTTATTTAAGCAAAATTGGATACAAGTTTTACATACCAAATCGATCAGAATTTTGTGTAGGATTTTATAAAATTATTTTCGTCAAATTCCGTTAACCTCAATTTTTTTCACTTAAGTCTCGTCGCAACGCATCGAAATGCGAGCGACGACCTACTGATGTGATATATGCTTGGAGTTACACAAGATTATCAAGAGAATTTAATAGAAGTTTAGCCTTTATAAAATGATGCGACAATTCAAAGTAAGTTACAAGAATTCCCAGTCTTCCACTTGCTTAGGCAAAGAATTGCATGAAGATTAATAAAGACACTTTCAATCAAATACAATGTGAAGTAATGTAAAAGCTTGTAACACAAATACAAAAGTTAATAATAAGGTGTTCACCTTTAAGGATCTACTCTCTTCCCTACGAATCTAGGTAGAACGGAGAAAGATCTTCCACACTAAAAATCAAGTAAGCACTAGGACGGACGAGTCGATGAACGTCGTTGTTGGGAAGGTAGCCGGAGTTGGAGGTGGCACGTATCTTTCGGT